TGCATTCATTTTGTTTGCCTGGGAGAATTTTGGCAAATGGAATTCAAAATATAATTTGGGATTACTGTCTTCATAGACGAGAAAGTGATGGTAGATGGCATTTTCATTCCTGTTTTCCCTGAGGGTCAACCCTATACGCTATCATATATGCCATCGCATGGGGGGGGGGGGGTTATTTCATAATGATCACATTGTGATCCGATCAGGTAGCTGGAAATTTCTTAAACAAATTTCACAATTCCTCACCGTCCCACTTTGTTTATGCAGGTGCACACGTGTCAACTGCCAAAACTGCCACAACATAAAGAGCTTGCGTCTCAGTTAGCTCCAATCCATGCTAGACTTTCACGTGCAAGTACCGTAGCTAAAAAGCATCCTGTATATAGGTTCAACGAAGTCCAGGTTTTTGTAGACCTCATACTACTTGTTCTGCTTGCAAGTTTTCTTCTTGACTCGAATGTTCGAATGTTATCTGCATTGAAGCTTGAAAACCGGCTATATATGTAATCCTTAGTAACCAATATAGCAGAAAAAGCTAGCCTTTCAACTCTAATGAGACCAAGCTTAATTTAGATACTTGTGAATTGTTCACTACAAACCAGCAATTTTTCTGCTTTCTAGATCACGGTGCTTCTTCTGTTGTTGGCTAGTGGTAATTTGAACTTGCTTGCAGGCTGAGGCAGCAAGCCAGTTTTTAAATGTTATGTTCAACTACTTGGAGTCGCTTTGTTCTGATTTGAGATCCCATACAATAACTAGTGTACAATCAGATAACGACAGGGTAAGATAACCAGGTCATTGCTCATTCGATTTCTTGATAAAAATTCACTAGCAATGGAGAACAAATAGCTAGAGCTGTGATCCTGGCTCATCCTGGATTACTTTTTCCAGGTTTCTTTACTTCTCAAAGATAGCTTCATTGATTCCTTTCCTGCTAAGGACCAGCCATTCATCAAGGTAACAACATTTTTTTTCCTCTGGCTCCAACTCTTAAGTAGACTTCTATAAATGGCAAGTCAATCCTATCATGAATAAACATGCTGCACATTGTGTAAACATGTGAGGCATATTTTTAAGTAAATCCATCCCTAATATTTTTTAATTTATCCATTTTTCATAGATGGTTCTAAAAATGGATAAGCTTTTGTTGATTACGAATGGTTTGAGTTTGCAGCTATTTGTAGATACACAGCTTTTCACTGTTCTATCAGACTCCCGTCTGTCGAGCTTTGAGAATGGCTATGACACGTTATTTTAGGATCATGGAGTGCAACAGAATTATCTGTTGGACATGGATCGTTCATAGAGAGGAAGACATTGTTGGTCATCTCCAGATGCCAGTAAATGGTCCTGTGCTTGGAGTGATAGGAAATGAATTGGTATTATGTTAATATTAGTAGACTGCTAATGCCCCAGCATTGATTATCTACGCTGTGACTCCCAAGAAAAGAATCAAAGCATCTCTACTTTTCAATGGAGGGATCTTTCTTTGACTTGGACGTTCAAGTTCAATAATTGTGAGAACAGGCAATTTTCCCAGTAGGTTATGTATCATACAAAAGAAAAGAGATTATTTAAACATTTGTACACGTGCTTTATTTTTTTTAAGGGTAAAGGTGCAATTTTATAAGATCAGTTGCAAGTTACTCCTGATCTTTTTAGGAGTGCACAAAAAGAAATCAAGGGTAAAATTGCACTTTTATCTTTTTTTTAATTGCTTAGTCAAAATATAATAAACATAAAGCTTCTGTAATAATACAATGAATACATAATTTTCACAAAAACCAATATAATTTGTGTGAGCACGATTGAGCGTTTTAAAAAATTCGAGTACAATATCAAAGGCCCTTGAGCCCAAGGACATTAGATGTGGACCTTAAAAGAGCAGTTTTCAGATTGCAAAAGAGTACTGTTGCTGAACCACATGAATTGTGATCTAGAGATTACTTTCAGTTGGTGTGGTGTTCGAATCCCATCCTTAGCTATTTACCCCTAAGTGGACGTCTCACAACAAAAGGATTAATCACTACTATTGACTACCATTGAGAGTGAATACCCTAGTATATACTTAAAAAAAAAAAAAACAGAGAGTACTACTGCTGAGTATTGGGATGATATGAAGAAGGTGGAAGAAATGAAGGCTGGAACCTTGCTTCTAACGGTGATGGGATAAAACTAAATTTTGGTGACTCATTTAACTAATGTGCAGAAACGAGAAAGAGAACAGTTGTTAATGGTCAAAGCTCGTTTTTTATATGAAAAAAGTTCAGTGGAGCTAGGTTTTGGGATTTAACAAGGGGTTAATATAAACTTTTTTCCTTCAAATTTACTCTCATTTTGACTGTGGTCTCTCAAATTTTAAACTATAGATTTTGATCCCTTAAATTTCTTTCTATTTAAAATATTGGTCTCTATAATCTAATAAAAACTTAGCATATAGAGAGACCAAGACCTATTGTTTAAAATTTGAAAGACTAAAATCAAAATAAAAATAAATTTAATGGACCAAATATTATATTAACCCTTTAATAAGGCTAAGTTATCCCTGGTAAAAAAAAAAAAAAAACAAGGCTAAGTTATGTTTTCAGATTTCAAAAGCATTCACAGAGACAATTATAAATCATTATATTGATCTTGCGAATTATGAACAGTTCCTTAACAACTGAATTAAATTTTTGTCTTTTTTTTTTTTTTTGCACTCATAATGATCTTCGTAAAAGTATAGGCGTGCCCATTTGTTTTGATCGGTTGTCAGGCGCTCATTAGTCATTTTAACTGGTTCAAGCTGATCACCCGGGCCCAGCGGCCAGTACATGACGTCATCGTACTTTTTTAATTATTTTTTATTTAACGCTCGGGATAATATCCTGAGGTTGCGTCAACATAACGTAAAAACCATTGGTTAACTGCCAAAAGAGACAAAAAAAAAAAAAAAAAAGTCAAATAAAGACTCCACGCTTAAAATAGGTCTCCACTTTCGCTCTTAACTTTCATTTTAATTTAATTGGTTTAAACCATTTCACGTACTTGTAATTTAGAAAGAGGACCAAGTTGTGAATTGATTTTAAGAGGGTCATCCAAAACGACGAACAGAACCAGACATAGAGCCGTCTTTTCCAAAATTTGTTTATTTCCAACTTTTTATCTCAATAAAAACCGGAGGGCATGACATCATCCTATTATTGACGTCATTGAGTACGTAATTTGGTCGCGCATTTGCCGTGCCAAACTGCCACCAAGTCACACGTGGATATGTTCAGGCGTCAGACTTCAGTTTTGCTTTCTTCTTTTCTGGTGAAAAAAACAAAAATTTCCATGTTTTTGGCCCAAAAATGAATTAAGTTTTTTTCGTAAAAAATTAATAAATAAACTATTTGCTGTTTTGACAGCTCTTCATCTCTTGCGTGCAAGATTGCCCCATTTTAATTCTTCTATTTAAATGTATCTATGTTAGTTCTCTTCGTTTCTCTCTATTTTTCCTCCTTAAATTCTATATTGAGAAGATCATGGAACTTTGCATGAAAAATGCTGATTTAATTTCTTATAATTCATTTATTTCATATTTGATATATATATATAATTGTATTCTTATAAATTTCTTGCTGAAGCATATCATTTCTTTCCCCCTATTTGATTATAAAATTCCACGCAGTACTGTAATTTTATTTTTAACTCAGATACGAGAGGATTTGAATGCTTTTATTCTTCATGAGAAAAATATGCCACGCCAAAATTGATTTAATAACGCAGAGTAAATTGAAAGATAATGTAATTGTTTGCAGAGGATAGTGATATAGAGCCCGTTTGAAACAATTTAGAAATAGTTTATAAGTAGTTTTTTAATAAGGATTTATGAAATACAAAGTTTATAAAAAATTTCTTAAACCCCAAACATGCCTATAATTTACTCTGCTATCCTCACCCGGAAATCGGCGGCATCATTTTCTTGGGCCGAACGACAGCCCGCTTTAAACATCTTTGACCTTGCCTCTTAGCTGTCGGCCAAATTTTTTTAATTAAAAATTAAAATTATTTAAAATCAATTAGGTTTTTATAATTTCATCAAAATCCTAATCAGCTATTTGTTTTTTTTTCTTTTCACAGTATTTATATTTTTTTAAAAAAATTTAATCCAAATGACGTAACACACCAGTGCCCTGCCCTGACAAAATAATTTGATGCGAGCATTTGATTTTTAATCAGTTTCCGTAAGTACACAAAAATATTTTACCATGTCTCAATGTTCAGTATATGTGAGTCTATTAAGCAATCTGTTAAAAGCTCGTGAGTCTATGTGTTGTTTTAAAGTTAGCTTAGAATTCTTGTCTCCTACGGAATAATATAATAATAATAATATTATAATAATAATAATAATATTATTATTATTATTATTATAATAATAATAATAATAATACAGTTCTTAATGTAAGACCCTAATTATAGAGTTGATTTTGATAGTAAATACAAGACCTATTTTTAATAGTGATTAATTTTCAAATCATCTCTATTAATACTTTCTCATCCATAATGAGTAGGAAAGAAAGAGAGGATATTAAAAAAAAATAGCATGTTTAAAAAAAATATGTCATATTATTATGATTAATCAATTTTCCTAACTTTTTAAATCTAATCAAATTAATAAATAAATCTTATATTAAGAAGTGGGAAATAATAATTAAGAAAAGCAAAACACACGACATCACTGGGTGACGCCATTAGGCTTGGGGTGAGACGTACACGTGTACAAAAAAACATTACATATACATATGTATATATAATATATACGTATAGAAATATGACACTACCCCGGATTAAAATTATAATTATAATTAAATAATGGTTAAACAGACTCCTTGTCGATCAGGCTGGAAAGAAACGCCCCCCTTCTGATTTGAAGATCCCGCGAGCTGTTTTAAACGTCGGAAATTCAGTTCAATTCATTAACATATATATAAATATTAAAATGTTTCCCCATAAATATACTTTGAAATTTCGTTCGTTCACGATTCATGCAGGTTACCAAATGAATTATTAGTAGTGATAGTAGTAGTAGTAACGGTGGTGGTAGCTGTAATGGTAACAGTAGTAGCAGTGGTAGCAATAATTTGGCTGTTGTGGTAATCGTAATAGTGGTAGTAATTGTAGTAGTAATAATCGTAATAGTAGTAATAGTAGTCGTTGTAGTAATAGTAATAGTGGTAGTAGTAGTAGTGGTCATAATCGTAGTAGTGGTAATAGTAGTGGTAGTCGTGGTGATAGTAGTCATGGTAGTAGTAGTGATAGTGGTCATAGTAGTAGTAATGATAGCGGCGGCGACGGCAGTAGTAGTAGTACTCCTCTTGTTTTTAACATATGATTTAATTGTTGAGCTCATCTTGGTATTAAATATAAGATCTATTTTTAATATTGATCAATTTTTTCCAAAAAAAAACCCATATTGATACTCTCTCATTCATAATAAGTAGGAAAGAAATGGAATAAGTAGTAGCAGCAATAGCAGCAGTAGCAATAGTAGTACTTCTCCTGTCTTTAACATAGATTTAATTATTGAGCTCATATTGATATTAAATGTAAGATCTATTTTTAATATTGATTATTTTTTCCCTAAAAAACCCATATTGATACTTTTTCATCCATAATAAGTAGGAAAGAAATGGAAGATATTAAAGAAAATCATTGGCATATTTAAAAAAATATGTCGTATTTATTATAATTAATCAACTAACCTAAATTTTTAACATAATCAAACTGGTTAAATAAATCTTATATTAATAACAGAATAAATAATAATTAAGAAAAGCAAAGCACACAGCATCGCTGGTGGCGCCATTAGGTTTGGGGCGAGACATGCGCGTGTACAAAAAGCATTGTATATATTTGTATACACAATATATATACGCATAGAAATAGCACACTAGCCAGGATTAAATTAAAATTATAATTAAATAATACTTAAACAGATTCCTTGTTGATCAAATGGAATGAAACGCCCTCCTTCTGATTTGAAGATCCCACGAGCTGTTTTAAACGTGGGAAATTCAATTCAATTCATTAATATATATATATATATATATATATTAAATGTTTCCCCATAAATATACTTTGAAATTTCGGTCATGATTCATGCAGGTTACCCAGTGAATTATTAATGTGATGCCGTTAATGAACTCAAGAGCCACCCAAATGTGACCAAATCGTTATCTGATCCGATCCGAATCACACATCATTTGCTTCCAACAAAAACAACGCAGTAGTATGTGTTAATCAGTGGCAGCTTCCTGACAAATTCATACAAAAGAATAAAGGAACCAAGGAATGCGTTTGACGATCCTGATGAAACATCTGACACGCTTCTAACTACTAAAAGAGAAGTCGAAATCTCATTCACAATGTCATTTTTCGCTCGGATTAATTAATAAAATCCACGTACGTGCAAGCTAAGCCAAGTTTGTTTAATTCCTTGTTTCAATTTACTTTTACCACTTTGTCTGAAACATCGTATATTTCGTAACATATATGTACTAAACTATGACGTTGCCCAGTTGAACGTGACCACGATACGTGTTCAGATTCGTTCACATGAAAGATTTGATTCACTTGACCTGCCCCCCTCTACAAATAATCTTTTTCACACTTCATTGTTATCATGCACACATGATTATGACCCGACATATATTTCTCATCTGAAATAACAATAGATAATGAGACGATGATATATATATATATATATATAATGGATAAATATGACCAGCAAAATTAAATGTCAAATTAACTATTATATTAATTAAAAACTGGATGTAGTATATAATTTGATGGCTCAAAACCGAGTCAAAATACAATATGTCACACACACACACAAGCCTCCTCACAAAAACTAACAAATATTCTAAATATTTTTCTTTTAAAACCGTGAAAAATATAAATTAAATTCACCAGATAGACAATGATTTATCCTTATGTTCACTAATAATCGCCCATTAAAAAACTAGAATTTTTCAATATAAAATTATAACACTATATATATATTGCCATCTATTTATATGACCACATGTTATGTTTCATAAAGTGTTCGATATGAAGTCTTAAAAATGAGCAGTTGAGCCATGTTATTCATGACTATCATCAGCCATGCAATTTTTTTATTATATTATACTAGAAATTGAGTTTTTTTTTGAGTCAATGCTCTTTTTGTTCCCCCCCGAAGTCAATGCTATAAATTAAAGATGGACGATTAATTCATTGCTAGGAGTGGGTGAACTGGCACTTTTGCCAAGCATGGTATGAACATAAAGGGCAGTAAGCTTCTTGTTCGAAAAGAAGCGGGGGCAACGCGTGACAATTGCACAATTATAACCACTTAAATTATAAATACATTATAATTAGTGATTAATAATTAAATAGCTGGAAAGCCAAAGAAAGACAGAGACACGGGATTGACAATGACCACTCCGGTCTTATTTTAGGATGCAGAAAAGATTTTTTTTATTTTTAATATCAATTACCTCGCTAAATTTATTTTTTATTGAAAAATTTTCACCAAAAAAACCTAATAATCACTAAATTTCAAATCAAGAATTTCTAAAAAAATGTGTTTTGATTTGCAAATCAAGTATAATCAAAGCCGATGAAAGTTTAGAAAACAATCTTTGTTTGGGTTTTAGTACTTTTCTATTTTCTTGTGAGATTTTCCCAATTTTATTTCTAAAGTAATTTATTATTCTTCAATTTTCATTTCTATTAAATAAGGGGTGGAGTGGAAAAATTATTATATTTTAAAACAGATCTAATAAAATCTTAATGTTTCTCAGCAAGTCATTTCTTAAAAACAGCAGCCGGATGAGCGGCATTATTGTTGTTAATTAAAACGGGCTCACTTTTCGGTTCAAAAAAACAAAGGGGTCACTTTGTTAAAATATTTTAAGCGGTCAACGGCTTTTAAGGGTCTGTTAACCGGTTTCGATCTGACTTTAATTCTCTTTGATTTTCAGAGGTCCGAACAAACGATCAGTTATGTATTTAATTATTTATTTATTTCTTTTCGTCCCCCGGGAGAGGAAAAAAAAAAAAACATAACAGCGCAGGTGACGATACGTGACATCCCAGTTGACGTAATTCTAAAAAAAATATGTGCAGCCAAGGATTCCCACCATACTTGACGATTCTGAAACTCCCACAACTTTCTCTATGTATATATACGCTACGATATCGGCGGCAACTCACACAGCTCTTCATTCAGATAGATATATACAAACATAAAAGCATATATAAATAACATCTCAGTTCTTTTTCTGGGAAAATAATTACTGGGTTTAAACAGACGAAGCTTGAGCTTTTGTCTGATTGTGTTTGTCCATCAATGGAGGATGGCGACGGTAGTTTCAGAACAGCGAGCAAGAGTAGTTTCGGGATAGCGAGTTCATCGCTATGGAGGAATACAGATATGGATGTTTTCTCAAACTCCTTCCACCAGGAAGACGATGAAGAAGCTCTTAAATGGGCTGCTATTGAGAAACTTCCGACCGTTGCTCGTTTGAGGAAAGGCTTGTTGACTACACCGGACGGCGAGGCCAATGAGATTGATATACATAAACTTGGGTTACAAGAAAGGAGGAGTTTGCTTGAAAGGTTAATCAAAGTAATTGAAGAGGACAATGAGAAGTTCTTGCTCAAGCTCAGGAATCGAATTGACAGGTGAGGATCTCGCTTTCATTTCTCAATTTATTTCAATGATATCTTTGTTTCAAACTCTCTGATGGCTTCTCTTCTTCCTCCAGAGTTGGGATCCAGATTCCTACGATCGAAGTTCGGTTTCAGCACTTGAAAGTCGAAGCCGAAGCTCACGTAGGAAGCAGAGCTTTGCCTTCATTCTCCAACTTCGTCGTTAATATACTGGAGGCATGTTTTGTGAACATTCAACTTAAATAAAGGACCTTTTTGCGTCATTTTATCGTAAAGGTTCTCACACGCATATGTGTTTTTCCCAACAGGGTCTACTGAACTTGGTTCACGTAATTCCCAGTAAAAGACAACATATAAATATCCTGGAGGATGTTAGTGGAATAATCAAGCCAGCGAGGTAAGAAACTTGGTTTTATTCTGATATGTGATATTTCTGCAACTATCCTTTTCATGATGAAGCTCTAATATAACGAGTCCTTAATTTCCTCTCTCCACAGATTGACGTTGCTTTTGGGCCCTCCAAGTTCTGGGAAGACAACGCTCCTGTTGGCTTTGGCTGGAAAGCTGGATCCAAAACTTAAGGTCAGTACAGAAGAAGACATAATCGATTTGTTTAACTAGATCTTCAAATCTTTCTTCTTTCTTTTATTTTTTCGGATCTGTTGCTAATGAAGTAACATCTCCTTCCTGATCAGTTCTCAGGAAAAGTGAATTATAATGGTCATGAGATGAACGAGTTTGTGCCTCAGAGAACTGCAGCGTATGTCAGTCAAAATGATCTTCATGTCGGAGAAATGACAGTTAGAGAAACCTTGGCCTTCTCAGCTAGATGCCAAGGAGTTGGGCCTCGTTATGGTTAGTCTATAATAAGATTGACTGTTTCTTAATGTTTCATCAACTATGGTATTCAAATCATTGGCTGATATTTCAGATGAAAAGTAAGTTTTGAGTTTTGACCATATCTCATAATGCATTCTGCAGACTTGCTAGCAGAGTTGTCAAGAAGAGAAAAGGAGGCAAACATAAAGCCTGATCCAGACATAGACGTCTACATGAAGGTAATGAAATTTAATACAACTTATTATTGTACTAAAATTTTAGGGAATCTTCTATTTCTGTCTCTGATTTTCAAGTGTCATAATGTTCAGGCAGTAGCAACAGAAGGCCAGAAAGCAAATTTGATAACAGATTATGTTCTAAAGGTAAAATCAATACAAAATGTTGTCACATTTTTTCTTACACCCACCACACAATTTAACGTTATTTTCTGTTCCTCTCTCTGGTTTAAACATACAGATTCTGGGACTGGAGGTCTGTGCAGATACAATTGTCGGAAATGCAATGTTGAGAGGCATATCTGGTGGACAAAGGAAACGTGTCACGACAGGTAAAGAAAGCTTCATTCCAATATTAAAGCAATCTTTGTTTAATTGTCTCAAAGAATTGATCATATAAGAATCTCGAATAATGAAATGATTTACAATTATAGGGGAGATGATGGTTGGACCAGCTAGAGCTCTTCTCATGGATGAAATATCCACGGGTTTGGATAGCTCCACAACTTATCAAATTGTGAATTCAATCAAGCAATATGTTCATATTCTCAAAGGAACCTCCGTGATCTCACTACTACAGCCAGCACCAGAGACTTATAATCTCTTCGATGACATTATTTTACTCTCGGACGGCCATATTGTGTATCAGGGTCCCCGTGAACACGTTCTTGAGTTCTTCGAATCAATGGGATTCAAATGCCCTGAGAGAAAAGGCGTGGCAGACTTCTTGCAAGAAGTAAGTGAAAATTAATCTTCTTTCATTCTGTCAAGATAGTTTAGACGCACGGTTGAACTGAATTAAGTAACAATGTGATATGTTACAGGTGACATCAAGGAAAGATCAAGAACAGTACTGGGCAGACAAAGATCAGCCTTATAGGTTTGTCACTGCCACAGAGTTTGCAGAGGCATTTCAATCGTTTCATGTTGGGAGAAGATTTGGAGATGAACTGGCCACTCCTTTTGACAAGTCCAAGAGCCATACCGCTGCTTTAACAACCAAAAAGTATGGAGTAGGAAAAAGGGAACTGTTAAAAGCTTGCTTATCAAGAGAATATTTACTCATGAAGCGCAATTCGTTTGTCTACGTCTTCAAGGCTTTCCAAGTAGGTTTAGGCTCTTGGAGCTTTCACCTTAAAGTCTCCTGCTTCTTCATACCATTCAATTTCAATTTTTAACCCCTTTTTTTTTTGTTTCTTTTTAATCTTTATAGCTTGCTTTTATGGCAATTATTGCCATGACCATCTTCCTCCGGACTGAGATGCATAGGGATTCAGTGACAGATGGAGGGATATATACTGGTGCATTATTCTTTGCTGTCATTGTGCTTATGTTCAACGGAATGGCTGAGCTTACCATGACAGTTTCAAGGCTTCCCGTGTTCTACAAGCAAAGGGATTTTCTCTTCTTCCCTTCATGGGCATACGCTCTTCCTTCGTGGATCCTCAAAATCCCCTTAACGATTATGGAAGTGGGTGTTTGGGTATTCCTCACCTACTATGTCATTGGATTTGATCCAAATGTTGGAAGGTAAAACTTTAAAAGAGCAATACTCGAGTTTTTCAAACTCCCTTCAGTTTGAATCCTGCTAAGTGTATAATAATATGCATGTGCCTACCTACTGCAGATTGTTCAGACAATTCCTTATTCTCGCGCTTGTAAACCAGATGGCTTCTGGGCTATTCCGATTTATCGCAGCAGTTGGTAGAGATATGACAGTGGCTCTCACATTTGGATCGTTTTCACTGGCTATTCTTTTTGCCATGGGTGGTTTTGTCCTGTCAAAAGGTATCATAATCACAAAGACAAGATGATACTAACCTCTATTCTCTAATGATGTTTTGTACTTACAACGCTCTTCTGTTTTCTTTGCTTTATGCCACAGATAATATAAAGGAAATGGTGGATCTGGGGATTCTGGATATCACCGTTGATGTATGGACAGAATGCCGTAGTGAATAATGAGTTCCTGGGGAATAAATGGAGCGAGGTAAGCTCATAATTTATACATACGTGCATTATTATGCTAGTCTAATCCCATATATATATATTGATGTCTTGATATAATGTCCCATGAAAGGTCCTTCCTGGCTCAGCGGAACCATTAGGAGTTCAAGTTTTGAAATCTCGAGGATTCTTTACGGAGTCATACTGGTATTGGATTGGGGTTGGA